CCACGTGACGCCAGGAGCCCACCGGCCAGGCCTGCCCACCGGCAATCCGAGGTGACTGCGTTCGAAAGGCAATCCAATGGGAATCCTCGGGCGATTGACAGTGTAAGAGAAAGTCTGCAAAAAGTTTGGGGAAGGAAAAGTTGAGTGGCTTTAAAAAGTGGCAAGGAAAATTATCCGATACAATTTACAAGAACAGCACTGTTACAATCAATATGCTGCCTAGATAATATGCCAAATTAATGCAAGTGCGCCCCATGTGAAACAATTCAGACTACTGGAAGAGAGAGGCCGTGTGACAGTTCGACCGTCGATTTCCGCAGCAAGGTGGTGCAGGGCGATGACTTGCGCTGCCTCTACCGTACTCTCTCTTTCCTCATCCACCTGGGTTCAGAAATGGTCAGAAAGACCGAAGACAGGATCCGGCGCAGTAGGTGGCAGGACCGACAAACCCGTCTGCGTGTACCACAGCACGACCTGGCCCCCTTTACCATGCGTACCAGGATTTACACAACCGGAGGATTAGAAGGTGCCATCGCCGTTTAACTCCCAGTCAACTCATCAGCTACTCAATAGACACTGTGTCAATGGTGTGTCTGGTAATGTGTCGGCTGGCCACTTTCTCAGCCACGGTGAACCGTGAGAGAGGCTAGACCCACCAACATGCACACGCCATCTATATGCGGCATTCAGGAGCTCTTATCTTTGCACCAGCATCATTTGGCTGCGTGATGGTGATGTCCTTGGGAACCCCAATAACTGCTGAGCCCTTGAGGCAGCTAAATGAATACCCTGCGGTAAGTTTTCGACGATGACAGGTCGATCCTCTAGTCTGACGATGTCCACCGGTTGTGCCTCACAGTAAGGTGTGCGCGGGAATAAGTATATAAGTACAGCAGACGTGAGCAACATCTACCGCACTCCCTCTTCCCCATCCTGCTGGGTCCGGCTTTAGGTTGCACTTAGGCGTACCAACACATCCACCATGTGTTGCGTTGGGTACAGATGCGCATCGCTAATGGCGCCTGCTGATCCGACCTCCAATGCATTTACCCCAAGGTCCGTTTTAGGTGCAGACAAACCCTCTGTAGAAGGGCAGAAGCATATTGCAACGAGCAGAACTACAGGAAAGCAGAAAACTGCGACCCGTGACCAGCGGGGCCCCCCTTAATCTTACCGTCTAGGGCAGACAGTCTAGATCGAGACAAAATAAATCGACCAAACAATTAAAAGCCCGAAGAGCACTTCCATACATAACGGCGTTTGTGAAGCATTTGCCGTCTCGCAAGACCGAGTAAGGATCGGCATCGCCCAGTGACTGGAGTTAACCATTTGAAAACTGGTCAGAAGATGGAAGGTCCCCTTCCCCTACCACAAGCCGAGACTACAAACCCCACCTACCGACTCGGGTGAACTGCTTTTGCGCGTTTGTTAAAGTTTTATACTATTCAAAATTCATGCAGTAGCTTGATTAGCTTGAGTCTTCTGTGAGGCGCTTCATTTCGCGTGAGCTTCTTCTATCGCCGTTTTTGCATGTAAGAAAGTCGCGTGTCAAAACGACCTAAAGGGGGGGGGGTGAAACACTTGGCTAAGATGCAGATGCATTTTGCTGACGGAAGCGACACTACAGAAATCCGAAGCTACAGTTCTTCCCATAGTTAAGTCAAAAGTGTGACTATGTAATGTAGGCGATGCGTTTGTAATAGAAACACATCGGAAGCCCCTCCCCTCCCCCAACAGAACAGGATACGGGAAAAAGAATGCTCCCTCGCACCAAGGTAGTACACGTGGTCTTGTGCTAAATGCCAGGGAAGACAAATATTCTCATGTTCTGATACTAACAAGAATCCTAACTCAAACCCAGATCATGACCTTTGGCTTAGCCCCAACCCCATCCTTAACCATAATGCTTATTCAAGCCGTAACCCCAATTTAGCAAAATTGATTTTAGAGGTCCCCAAAATCCCATCGACTTATAATAAAAAACTACAGTAGGTTGCCAAACTCATGCAATCCTACGATTTTTACAAGTAA